ACTAAAACATTTTTCGATGAGATTTGATGTTCCTAACAGCCAAGGACTACCAATCTTTTCAGGGATGGAACGGATGTGTCACACTCTTTAGAAACTGCTTCAAGTCGCAACTGGCTTGGAATTTACTGCAATATGACGATCTCAGAACCAGTCCTACAAAAACTCCTTAAAAGCATTATTGATTTTTAAGAGAAGGTATCTTTTGTATGTTTGAAGTAGGAATACTTGAAAATGTTTTTTTTCGGTCAATCTAATCTTAGTGCAAATAAAACACATGGACTACCAAATTAAAATTTTTCTAGTCAAACCTGACTTATCTTCAAAATCCTTTCTCATACTGCTCACTTCCAATATTAATTTGATATATGTACGGAAGAACGTGAATAAGATTAAACAACCAAAACAATTAAGCAATACTCTCGCTTTTTCTGGATATCAAAAGGAAGTTTGAACTAAAAATGGGGAAAAAAAACTTAAGATTAGTTCCTTTCACATTAGAGACTACAGCTGTGATATGTTTTGAATTGTTTGTCTGATAGATTCTATGAGCTTGATACATAGCTACTAGTTTCTCATACTACATTCGTGGGAATGCAAATTCTGTCACATTCTTGATTAATAAATGACCGCAAAATGTAGATTTACGTTAGAGAAGGTAGAGATTGTAAGCCGATAAACCTTATACTTAATGAGCTGCAGTCTACAGCGCTATAACCTTTAATTTTTGATTATGGACTAATTAGGTCTTGCAATAGTATTTTACAGACCCAAAATCATAGTCAACAAATTTTTGGAAATTACCCTAACCCCAACAATTCGGGTAAAAATGAAAATCAGAGAGAAAAGAAGAGTTATATACTAATGTCTCCTAGTCGGATGTACAATTTGAAAAAGTAATGCTTATTCAGGAGTAAATACATGTACGACCATTACTTTGAAAATTTATGGAAAGCAATATTCCTCGTAAGATTTTTTGAAGATTAGAAGTACATAGATGGAAAGATATGCTGTACGAAAGACAGATTTTTATGAGTTTTAAGTTATAAACATCTTTCGTATAATAAATCTTCTATATAGTAGAGCATCCATAGAGCATTATGAGAGTATCCCATATATCACTGAGTCTGTTTCACTCTCTACTATTAGTACGATAAATTATTCATAGTTTTTATGCGAAATATTGGAAAAATGGGAGAAACACGATCTAAAAAAGTATTTTTGAATCAATAATGGCAATAAATGATGACGTAATAGGACAATTGACAGATTTGCTGGAAACATTGTCAACAACAAACCTAATGAGATCAACCACGTATTTGTATATGTCTTGATGATGTGGGCTCTCTCTCGGAGGTAACAACGCGAAAGGAGGACAACCGTGGCAGCGAACATGCAGCAAACAGTAAACACATCCAGCAAACTCATAGGTAAACGAGCGAATTTAAGGGTTTCCATAAATTTGAAGAGTAAACTTTTGGTGATTTTGAATTCATATAGGGAGGGAAGCACCATTTGCGCTGATATACAGTAACTTTCTTCTAAAGCTAAGAGAAAAAACGATTAAAGGAAATATTATTCCGTTTTTTTTTTCAAGAGGTGCCTGCATATTCTGAGAATAGGAATAGTTTCATTAAAGATAACTTTTGATTGAATGCTAAT